GGCGGGGCGTAGCGCTCGGTCCGGGACTTCCTCCTGCGGCCGGGCGCGACCCAGGGCTCCTCCGGGTCGGGCCGCCGATCGCTGACCCGCCGCTGCCCTGCCCGGCCCCGGAAACTTTATCAGAGAGCAGCAGCCGCTAGCCCGTCCGTCCAGAGACTGCGCCGGCGACCCGGATGGAGCGGGCGGGGAAAGGCCGGAGGCGAGCAGGGCGGAGAGCGCGAGGGGCGGAGAGTTGAGGGAGAGGCCGGGCGGGAGCGGGGGAAAGGGGGAGGGCCCGCGGGGGAGGGGCTGGCCGGAAGTGGGCCGCGGAGCACGCGCGAGCCCGCCCACTGCCCGGCCCGCGCGCCTGTGCCGGAAGCCTCCCGGGCTGCGCGGAGCCGCGCGCGTGCGCGGAGCGTAGCTTGCCCCGCCTCTGTCCGGTGGGCGCTGCCAAACGCTGTCCAGTCAGCGTTTATGGACCCGAGCGGAGTGGATTGTCAGTGTGTTTTTAACAACGGGCTTGCGTGAGGGCCACTTATGAAGAAAAACCTTCGTTTCCTTTTTGGTTTGTCTTTCTACTCATAAATTGTAGTTTTTTCATGATTGTCTTTTCCGCAGGGAGATTTTGAAGCGGCAGAGAAACGTCACAACCACGGATGTGAGGGCGATGAGTTGCGCTGCGCTTTGCCGTCCGCCGCAGCCAGTCTGAGGGCGCGGGTACGCGGAGGGCAGCACCTGGAGATGCTCGCATAAAACGTCGGCGCCGCCAGTGCGGCTTCCCGACCCGTGTTGCTCACGGCCCTTTCGCACGCTGTCTAGAAGATGGGGCAAGAAAAAAGGTCTTGTTCGGTACACCGGCAAGCCCAAAAAGAACGGGGCCTCGCTTCCAGGAAAACCATCTTAACACAGATTACAAGCTCCTTTTGTAGTTAGGAGGACATGACTGAGGTAACCTGGTAGCTGGTCATCTCTGCTCTGCAGCGCTTTTTCAGGGGTGGTAGTGGTACTAGTGATTGAATTGAGGACCTCTTACCTGCTGAGCAAGTCTCTGCCACCAAGCTCCACCCCAGTCCCTTTCACTTTTAGTTAGAGTCTCGCTAAATTGCTCAAGCTCGTCTTGAACTTGTCGTGCACAGAGCTTTCTGCGTCAGTCTTCGGAGACGAGACCAGGGACTTCCGCAAACCAACCCTGTGCTGCTAATTTAAACAATTAAGGAAGACTGTACTCCGGGAGCCACCAGCCAATAACTACACTCTGTTTAAAAAGGGGAAAACGTGAAACAAGACACTTGTAGTTCTATATTAGACTTTCCTAGAACTTGACTTGAGGGAGAATGTTGAGAACCTAGAAGGAATTCCACAATAGACTGTTTATCATTTACTGGAACGCGTGTTTCAAGTTAAGAAGTGCCTGTGCTAAAATGTATTTGTGTGTGATTTAGTTTCCTAGCACTGCCACTACAAATTGCCACAAATTGGGTATCTTAAAATAACAGAAAGAGGGGCTGGGGATTTAGTTCAGCGGCAAAGTGCCTGCCTGGCAAGCGCAAGGTCGTGAGTTCGATTCCTGGTACCGGAAGAAAAATAAAGCAAAAGAAATGAAACAACAGAAAGTTACCCTCTCATACTTTTGCAGCCCAGAAGTCTAATAGGTGGCCTTCTTGGGTTTCAAAGGGAGAATTTTTCCCTCGCTCCTGGTAGTTGCCTATAATTCTTGGGGATTCTGTGGAAATCTCTAATCTCTGGTTCTATCTTCACTTGATGTTTTCCATATGTCCAGACTTTTTTCTTTCCAGAAGTGTACCAGCGATAACCCTAATTTATCCTGAGCCCATTATAACCTGACTGCATGTGCGAAGACCTTATTTCCCAATAAGACTACAATCACCCATAGCAGAGGTTAGGACCTCAACAATACTTGTGGAGGAAACAAACTTAACCCACCACTGAACTTTACAGAAATAAGTGTAAAGTGTCAAAATGCTTAAGCAAAGAAAATACAACTTCAACAGTAGGAGTGGTGGCCCACAAACTATATTTTTAACTGCTGCTTCTTTCTTGCAGGACTTTTATTTTAGGAAGGAGTATTGCTGTGCTACCTATGTTGCTTAGGCAAGCTTCAGACTCAGGATTCTCTTGCCTTCATTTCCAAGGTAGCTGGAACCATAACACCACCATGCCAGGCCAATGTTTGTCATCATTTTTTATGGTGCCAGGGGTCAAACTCAGGACTTTGCACAAACTAGGCAAAAGCTCTGCTACTGTGCCACATCCCCAGCTGTTTTGTTGTCTTTTAATCTTAAGGACTTGTCACCATAGAATGCATCACTGAAAGGAAAGCTGTGGGGTTCAGGATCTCTTAAGAAATGTACTTGATGCTACAACAAATAATAATTGGGAGATGGGGCTCCTTGTCTGGGAAACACCATGGATCACTGCTGCACACAGCAGCAGCAAGCACTACACACCTAGAAAGAGGGCTCTGGGAACACCCTGGTTCGAGTCCCCAGGCTTTCCTCTGGAAGGGAAAGCGTGAATTAGCAGAGGTATGTGTGCTACATAGATGCGTCTCTGCAATATTTTTAAAGATTGGTCTTACTTGAAGAAAATGAAATGGACATTTCTGGATTATTTTTAACTTATAAATCTATGAAACTGTAGTACAAGGTCTCAGAACGTAGCCTGTAGTTATTGTTAGGGTGAAACAAGTATAGAGTCGTATGATTGTTAGGATAACGCAAATTTGTTGTATAGAAGCTGCATGAGATATTAGTCTTGGTTTATCTGAGCCTTAATCCAGCAGCTCACTTCAGACATCTGTCCTTCTGTCCCCCGACACAGAGACATTTACTGATGGTCTTCTTTACAGAACACTACTTACTCCTCAGCTGGATTTTCTGGAATTGTGTTAATAATTCCATGAAATACATAATAAAAATACATAATTCACATGTATTTCATGGTGCTTTGTAAGGATTTAATAAGACTGCAAGTACAGTGCCTTATACGTGATGAGAGTTTCACAAATGTCAGCTCTCCTATTACTAGTGTTATCCTTCCCAAACTGTAGTAAGAGAATGGGAAGCCATTCCTTCTTCTTTTTTTTTTTTGGTACCGGGAATCAAACTCAGGACCTTGCGCTTGCCAGGCAGGCAGGAGCTTGTGCCACTGAGCTAAATCCCCGGGCCTTTTTGCGGGGGGTTGGGGAGAGCCATGCCGTATCACCGCAAAAAAAGTTTAGAACAAGAGTAAAATGGGCTTTTCCTATTATGTTCATTTTGAAAAGATAATGCTCACACTTGAGAAATCACTACGTGAAGAAGTACTCATTCTTGTCCCCTTTTGTCCAGCTCCCAGCCTGCTGTGCCACTCACGCTGGATGTCACCTCACCTCATTCAAAGTGTCTGTCACCTCTGCACTCTTCCCTGACCACTCTGCCCGAAAAGCACACCCTCCCTGTTTTCTTATCCTGCTTTCCTTTCCTCTGTATCTGTTATCACTACCTGATGTTTTACTATTAATAAAGCACATAATACATTCACTGTATATAATTTATAGATAAAATAGGTGAGCAATTATATATCTATAAATATATTCTATAAATAGATCTATAACTTTGTCTCCTACTGTGGACTAAAACGCGTAAAGGCAGAGACTTCTGTGTTTGGTTCAGTGCTCTGGCCTCTAGTATTTTGAACAATTCCTGGACCACAGCATGTGCTCAGGGAGTATTTATTGAATTAGTTTGTAATTCTGCCAGCCTAGTAAATTGTCACAATCTTTCTGTGAGTAAATTTGGCTATATATTCCGAGAGCTAGAATTTTTCACAGTGATACTTACTTCTTTTTTTCTTCTGGTACAAGGAATCAAACTCATGACCTTGCACTTGCCAGGCAGGTGCTGTGCTGCTGAGCTAAATCCCCAGCCCCCACAGTGATAGTTATTGTGAGATATTGCACAGGTAAACTATTTACCTGTACTGTATGAGCTCTGAACTCTGTCCTAAGAAAATAAAAGATTCATTCAAGAAATTTTTTATTGAGCATCTACTATATGACACCCTCCTCAATTGTACTACAAGATATAGATAAAAGCAGGACATAGCAAATAAAAACATGAACAAGATTTTTATTTTAATATATACAAAATGTTTAGCGCAGGATAAAAGCAGCCTAAATTCCAACAATAGGGAATTGGTTAAGTCCAGTTTTGCTGTATGTATAATAAAATTGTGATTGGAAAAACTACGTTGAGTCTACTTTTTTTTTTTTTTTGGTTTTGGTTTTGGTTTTTCTCCAGTACCAGGGATCAAACTCACGACCTTGCGCTTGCCAGGCAGGTGCTGTGCCGCTGAGCTAAATCCCCAGCCCCTGTTGAGTCTATTATCATACTGCCCTGAACACATCCGGTCTTGTCTGAAAGACTGTTGAAAAATGTGTATGATGAAATATGTTTTTATAAATGAGGATACAAAATTATATGTCTTGCTTATAGCAATGTTTTTTAAAAGATAGAAAAATATATACCAAAATATTAGAAATTATGGTATTAGAGTAGGAAGCAATTTTTTCTCTTTTCCAAATTTTCATAAATTATATCATGGTTTTAAAATGTTACTGATAAGAGAAATCTTGCTTCAAAAACAGAAGAGGTTTAAAGTGCAGTGATATATGATTACTGCATTAATCTACAGTTCAAGCCAGGTGCACACAGGTGATGGCACATGTTAGTAAACCCAACACTGTGGGAGGGTGAGGCAAAAGAATGACAAGTTCAAGCCCATCCTGAGTAACTTACTGACTTGGTGAGACCAGGTCTCAAAATAAAAAAGAAAAAATGGCTGAGGATATAGCTCAATGTGAAGGTCTTGTGTTCAATCCTTAGTACCAAAAATAAAATGAGATCCAATATGGGCCTTTAATCAAATCTTCCTTCCATTTGAAAGTATATATTCATGTTTATATATAGTTTATGTCAAGCTAGTAATTCTTCTATGAAACTTTTAAAATATTGATTACTAAGAGGATCCCCATGTTATGAGTTTTATACTGAATCATTTTATTCCTTTAAGTGAATTTTTAAAAAATTTTTGTCAGTACTGGGTCACTCCATGCCTGTATTTCCATTTGATAAACATTGCTTTTAAAGGTGGCAGACAGTTAAAGGCTAAGTATTCCAGGAATACCAGCTGGAGTTTATCTATGTCACTGAAAGTATTACTTTCAATCCTTGTACTCAATCTTCTAGGGCTGCTGTAGAAATTATGCAAATTGGGTGGCTTAAAACAAATTTATCAAGCTGGGCATGGTGGCTCACACCTGTAATCTCAGCACTCAGGAGGCTGAAGCAGGAGGATTGCTGCGAGTTCAAGACCAGCCTGGGCTACATAAGTGAGTTTAAGGCCAGCCTGAATTTCTGTCTCAAAAAGAAAAAGAAAAACAAAAAAAAAAAAAAACAAATTTATCTTTCACAATTCTGAAGGCCAGGAGCCCAAAACCAAGTTTTCAGTAATGCCACACTCCCTCCAACGGCTCCAGGAAGAATATGCTTCCCTGGTCCTTGCAGTCTGCGCTGGCTGCTGGCACTCCTTTGCTGGTGGCAATAATCACTCCAGCCTCAGCTTCCTCATTTTTACTAGCACATGTTTGCAGCACATGATCAATACATTTATGGTGAAGAGTCGGCACATGTCCTCGCATCCAAGCACTTTCATGTGCTCTCCCCCTCCCATCTCCTGGAGCCCTTTCCCACTCACCAAAGGTCTCCCTCCCTTCAGCCTCCAGTTCCATATGGCTTCTCTCCTGTGTTTCTGGGAGCTCCCTCTCCTTCCCTTCCAAGGACACTCGTCATTGGATTTAGGGTCTACCTAATCTAGACCTGTACTTTAGGTATATTTCCAAAGCCATAATTTCATTACCTCTGCAAACACATTATTTCAAAATAAGGTCACATTCTTGTTAGGAGTGTTCTTGTACACCTGTAGTCCCAGCACTCGGGAGGCTGAGGCAGGAGGATCACTGCGAGTTCAAGGCCAGCCTGTGCTACAAAATAAATCCAAGGCCAACCTGACCTACATAGAGAGACACTGTGTCAAAAAAAAATTCACATTCTGAAGTCCCAGGTGTGCATGACTTTGAAGGGGACCGCCATTCAGCCCACTGCAGTCCTTTGTCAGGAAGTCTTAGCTACTCTTCCTTACCCTGATTTTGTGTAATCTTAACTAGTACCTAATAGTACTAGTTAAGCCTAGTACCCCCTCCTGGATTACCCAAAAGGAAACCCAGTGACCGAGGAGTAAGGTATATTTTGACATTTTCTTTGTAGGAGTGAAAGAAAAACACTACCTACTTAACTTCTACCTGTAGATAATCTTATTAGCCTGGAATTCTGGGTATTTGTTAAATGCACATAGTTCTACCAAGTTCATTCTTTCTCACTGAGCCTAAGGCTCTTCATACCCTCAGGTCTACTTTCACACTTAGTTTTTCTCTCTCCGCGTCTTATACTTCTTTCTTTTGCTTTCTTCTGCTTGAATCTTAAATACTGCTGACAAGTCACAGATAAACTTCTGGTGTCCAGGATTTTAAACACAATCACTTGGTTCAGCAAACATTAGCGGAGCGTTCCCACAGGACCAGGAGCTCTGTTAGGTTCTGGGTAAGAAAAGTCACGCCTTGACATCAAGGAACTCTCTGGTCAGTGACACACAAAATGAACCAACATTGTTCTATTAAAGATATGCAGCAAGTGTCATCTTCCTATTGTTCAGTTTGAAATGACGGAACAGTGCTGTCCGAATAATTTGTCATCAGTGGCACCCGGATCACAGGGTCCAGTTTGGGCAACTGGAAAAGACTCCTGGAGTCATCTCTCCCTAATCTTGGTTTTGAAGCTTAGGCCTCAGGAGTGACAGCCACACCTTCCTAGTCCTCCAGTATGGAGGTTCCCCTTTTTTCAGTCCCTTGTCCCAAGAGTTCCACAGCCCTCTCTTCCCTGTGGCATGTGGCCTGGCATTATGGATTCAACCCAAAAATACACACGAGGCAATCAAGATTTACTCGAGTTTTTAACGAGTGCCTCTTCTGTGTAGCTCTGCCAATTCCAGCAGAAAGAAAAGCATGCAGGAGATAAAAATGTGCCGCAAGTTGTGATAAAGGCCACTAAGGCGAAGAAGTGGAGAACGATGGGCTGTGAAGGCTTCAGTGCAGGAGTTGCCTTTAAAAATGAAAATGAAGAGAATGATCAAGCCCTATGCAGAAATGAGAAAATATCCCAGGTAGAAGGAGCAAAATTACACCCTTGAGACAGGAAAGAACTTGACGTTTTCCAGAACTGACACAAAATTAGCAAAGGTCAAGCACAGAAACACTAACTATGCTTGGAAATAAGCAGAGGAGGATGAGTCGGGCAGGCCGGATCGGGGAGAGTGCCCGCCAGAGTTTCTCCGAGGGAGAAGAGGGGACTGACGTATGTGCTAAGAAAAGTGACCTTGTTGCTGGACAGGTCAGTTTCGGAGTTGGAGGAGTGTGAACAGAGTTGTTTTGGGGGCCTTGAGAGTAACCCAAGCCAAAGGTGGTGTTGGTGAAGCCTGAGGTGTAGTAACAGAGACAAAGGGAGGAACACGTATTCAGAACGCACATTGGGGCCTGGCCTGAGGGCACACACCTGGAACCCTACCCACTTGCCAGGCTGGGAGGGGCAGAGCACAAGTTCAAGGGCAACCTGAGCAACTCAGCAAGAACCTGAGCAACTCAGCAAGACCCTGACGCAAAATAAAAATCTTTACAAGGCTGGGGATAGCTCAGTACTTCCTGGGTTCGATCCCTAGTACCCCAAACAAAATGAAACACTTCAGAAATAAAATTAACAGTTGTGATGGGGTTTGGAGGGGATTAGGGCCACTGGAAATTTTTTTTTTTTTTTTGAAACAGAGTCTTACTGTATAACCCAGGCTGGCCTCAAACTCACAATCCTCTTCCTGCCTCAGCCTCCAAGTGCACCACCATGCCCAGCCCATTAATACCTTTTTGACTCCGACAGTTAGGTGAGCGGTAATGACATTTACAGAGATGAAGATGGCTACTGAGGACGTTTTGACTGAGAAAACTTGTATGTTCCATTTTGACTTTAAGTTTGAAAAATCAAGTATCTCTGTATTAGTTTGCTAGGGCTGCTATAACAAATATACACAGATTGGGTAGCATAAGTAACAGAAATGTATTTTCTCACAGTTTTGAAAGCCAGAAGTCCAAGACCAGATGTCAGCAGGCTTGGGTTTTCCCCTAAATCCTCGCAGGCTTGTAGCTGGCCGCCTCCTCACTGTGTGCTTGTTCTGTTTTCCCTTGGTCTCTCTGTGTTCTCTGTTCCTAGTTTTGTCCTAGTTCTTAAAGATGCGAGTGATACTACAGCGGGGCCTAAATTGATGATCTCATTTTAACTATCTCTTCTAAGGACCTACCTCTGACACAGTCCCTTTTTGAGGTATGGGACGTAGGGTCTTAGGCTATGAATTCTGGGGCGGGAGGACATAACCAAACCCATAGGAGTTTCTTTCTTTTTTCTGAATTGCATTTTTCAGAGTCCTTTTGCTGTTATCCTAAGTGAGTATGGGTGGACCCCAGAAATGAATGAGAAGGGAAAAAGATCTCAATCAGAGTAATGGGTGATAGCTGTATCAATTGAGAAGTTAGAAGTTAACTAAGGGACTCAGCAGGAGGCCAGGGTCCTCACCCTGTGAACATCCTAAGTCTGAGCAAGAGGAGGGTGGGAAGACGGTGTGGGTGCTTTAGCCTGCATACAATGTAAGGGAGGAGAACAGGCCCACCCTCTCCCCCTTCTGCTCTCCTTGCTTTGCTGTCTTCCACCGCCCTGAACTATTGCCCCTCACCACACCAACCTGCCTTGGAGCAAGCTGATTGCAGACTGAAACCTCCAGGAACCTTTTCCCTCTTACTTTTGGATGTTGGGTATTGTGTCTCAGCAAGGATAGAAAAATACACAAGGCAACCAGTTAATCTGCAACATAAAGAATAATACTCTGGGCATTGGAGGAATCCTCTCAGCTTTCACCATCATCCCATTCTCCTTTGCTGCTCCAGATTTACCTTCTGTCTTTCAGTTTCTAGGTAGCCCAGAGTGAAACAGTGGTAATCTTTGTGTCATAAACACTAGTAATATTTGTAAATGTTCTTTTTTTATAGCTTCAGGACTCTTGGTGTTTGTTTCCTACCTTGTAATTGCAGGAATT